AGTCCAATAGAAATTACGGTAGAGCTACGGTAGTTAACAATAGATGAATATATCAGCAATTTGCTAAAAAGGAAGGATTGAATGTGCGGCAATCTTAAAATGGCCCTGCCATGCGAAATGGATGTGATACTTGTAATCACTTCAAAAAGCCCCATTAGACCACTTTCCAAACAAATTTTTGTACCTTTCCATCGTCTTCTATGTAACTAACTCCACAATATGCCCCTATTGGGAAAATGGATATGATGTGCTCGTATCGTAAACTGCGACTTATATTATATGCTACAGAACACAAATTTATTAAAAATCTAAGCTAAACTTAGGCAGCCCATGTTTCTTTCTTCAATAAATAGTACAGCGCCACATTTAAACTGTTCAAAAAAGAAGTGCGTATGTACTTTTTAGGAAATTGTCCGAAACCATTTTACAGAAAAATGTACATTGGCTTCAGTTTCTACCATAAGACAATGCAGTTAAATCAAATACGAAAATCCTTAAGTTCATTAACTGAGAAAAATAGGAATTTTGAACCAAAGTCGTACTCGTCATTCCTTTCTTACAACAAAATTCTATTCAAATTGAAAAGTCAGCTGTTAAAGTGGCAATACAAATAAAAAGCCACTATGTAATAAATGTAAATAAGAAATGACCGTAATTAGTTGAGAAATAGTTGTCAAAAGCAGTGTTTAGCTAAATGGTACATATGTTGACGTTGCTTGAAGGTTGAATGCGCTAGTGTATTCAGAAAGTTTACAATCCATTTTATCGCCTTCTCCTCCCTTTGGGCGTCTAACCTCCGCAATTCCTGGCATCCAAATGAGTGGTATGAAAATGGTTTATAAGAAAAACAAGAATCGCTAGACACTTCGAAAATGTAGTAACCAAGCGATGAGTAAACGATATATGGAATATATTTGTTCACTTGGCAGACTGTTGTTATAGGACGAACGAACGACCCTTAATGCATTTAGGGGATCCTTTTACACATATAAAAGACGGAGGTGATCCAAGCTCGAACTACGCTGTAGATGGGGTACATGTTTGAGAGGATATGCTGCGACTGAGTGCCACTTATTTTTAAGTGATTAAATACTCAAGAATGAGTGCTTAGGAATTTTAGCCTGTGCAAATCTTAGCTATTTAAAGTACACGGAATATAGTGTTAATGATTTATAAAACCATTAATGACGACTAAACAAGCAATTTAATTTCGTTATTTTTATCAGCAGATTCTGCTTTTAGTCACATGTTTTTTCTCCTTTATGGAGTCGAATGGTAGGTAATACTTTAAAGAGATAAAGAGATTCAAGAGGAAACAAATGGCTGTCAAATAAGCCTAACAGGCACTGTGTCAATATATTTGAAATTGATTCAACTTAGATATTGGCTAAAGTCTAGAACCATGTGACGTAGAAAGTCAGGATATCAAAACGTTTGAAAATTCAATACCAAAAAGTGAATT